GTTCGAATCCTCAGGGCTGCCAGGCTCCTCCTTGGCCCCTCCTGCCGACCGAGCCTTCCGTCACCCGGGCCTCTGGAGGGTTGGTTCATGCCTCCCCCGTCAGACAGGGACCCTTGAAGGGGGCTCAGGCCTCCCCCATCAGACGGGACCCCAGAAATCGGGGCCATGTCTCCTCTGCTAGAGCAGGTGTCCTTACAGGCTGGACTTTGCCTCCCCCATCAGTCTGGGGACACTTGAAGGCAGGCCTGTGTCTCCTCCGTCAGACGGGATCCAGGAGGTCAGGGTCATGTTTCCTTTACTAGACTAGGGGATCCTTACAGGTGGGTCCTTACCTCCCCCCTCAGACTAGAGACCCCCGAAGCGAGACCCATGTCTCCCCCACTGGACTGGGACCCCTAAAAGCAGGGCCATGTCTCTCCCAGCCAACTGTTAGCCTCTGAAGTCAGAGCCATGATTCCTCCGTCAGACTGGAGGCTTCTGCGGGCACCGCCACGTCTCCGCCATCAGACCGGGAGCTGAGAAAGGCAGAGCTGCGTCTGGGGGCTCCGAGGGCGCAGGCGGCCTCCCTGTCAGACCAGGAGTTCCGAAGACAGGGCCGTGTCTCCCCCCTCAGATTAGAAGCCGTACGGCCCCACCAACGGCCGCCCTGTCTGACCCCGCCTGGTCCCTCCTGTCCTTGGGCCTTGGACCCCAGGTCCCCTCCAGGCTCAGGGACCCAGGGCTGCTGCCGCAGAAGCCAGGGCACAGGGACCGTGCAGCCCCGGCCAGCGACACCCAGCTGGCTCCTTCCTGAGGTCCCAGCCTCCTACGCATATACTGAGCACCTACTGTATGCCACACAATGGAATATTGCTCAGCCATGAATAGGAACAAAGGCTAGGTGTGGTGGCTCCTTGTAATTCCAGGGTTTTGGGAAGCCAGGCATTCAGACCGGCCTGAGCCGGGCTCGGTGGCTCAGCCTGTCATCCCGCGCTTTGGGAGGCTGAGGTGAGTGGATCGCCTGAGCCCGCGGGTTCGAGACCCACCCGGGCAACTTGGCGAGACCTCATCTCTACAATCAATCAAAAATCAGCCGGGCGTGGCAGCGCGCGCCCGTAGTTCCAGCTATTCGGGAGGCGGAGGCGGAAGGATCGCCGGAGCCGGCAGGTCGAGGCTGCGGTGGCCGGGAGCAGCCACTGCGCTCCGGTCGGTGACAGAGTGAGACTCCAATTCGGGGAAAAAAAAAAAAAAGACTGGCCTGGATCACATAGCAAGACCCCAACTCTGCTAACAATTTTTTTTTCTTGCCAATCGTCTCATGGGGTCCGAGGCTTCTTCTTGGGGTGACAGAATGTTCTGGAAGGTGAGGGTTCCACATCCTCGCAAACGTGCTGGAAACCGGTGGCCTGGGCACCGTACATGGATGGATTGTAGGCCACGTGAGTTATGGCTGCGAAAACAAGGCTGCGCCCCCACAGAGCCTGGCGGGAAGCACCCAGCAACGGCCGGTTATGCACCCATTTTCCAGGTGAGAAGACCATCTGTCCCCCTGGGGTCAGGCGGGCTGGGATTCTGGGCCCCACCCACCCCAGAGGAGACCCCTCAGCCCCACCGCTGGGACCATGAGTTCCAGGAAAGGGGGGACCCCGTCCAGCCCACGTCCCTGCTGC